TCTGCAAAAAATAATAATCCGGATCCATTCGAAGATTAAGGAACAACGCAATCTGCAACATTAACTGAAATAGATAATTAGATAATTTTAGCTTACTTATCCCGTCCGTTATACATTAAACGCGCATTCGTAAACGTATTTTGCGCACGCGCACACGCAAATTCGTAGCGGTAAAGGTCTTACGCGCATGCGTCAACACGACGCATGCGCAGAAAGTTTGTAGCTTTGAGGTCCGGATTATAGATCATTCCGGATTCCTCTTTTTTTAAAAAATATTTCTAAGAGTAAGTTTTTACCTTTGCCGTGTTATTGTCTGCTTTTTCACTTTAACTTCATTTAAATTTAATTGTATAAAACAGAGAAAAGTTTGTTTGGTGTTTATTTACAGAATGTTTTTAAGCAAGCAAGATGTTGCCACTTTGGGTCATGTCCCAGCTTTAAAAAACATATACATAAACATAAACTTCTCGTGTTATAGATTATATAAAAAACATCTTCTTTAATATAGAAATTTTCAGGCTTAAAAACTGTAAATAATATGATTAAGATTTTTTGCACCCGATATAAGAATTGGGTTACTCGGTGGTACAGGATGAGCGCTGCTGGCGTGGTTTATTTCTTTCTCATTTAACAAAAATCTTTTAATTCAAATATTTATCCTTTGGACTTTGCTTTAAACTTTATTTATAATTAAAATGTCTAGAAACTGAAACGCATTTAATGCAACTGATATTTTAAAAAAATTGACAAGAATGCAAAATTTATGGAAGTGTAAAAATCTTAATTTTCTTGTGTCCGCACTGAAAACAAATAAAGAAGGAAATTAAGGGGGAAAAAGCAAAAATTTAAAGAAGAAACTTTAAGAAAGATGGCTGTTCAAAAACAAAACACTTGGATGTGTGCACCAGCAAATAGCAGCAGAGTTTGTGCTAACTGAAAAGATAAAAACGATATCACTCCAGATTAAAGTGAAGAGTGACTGGTTTTCGACTATATGGTTGTATAAATTTAATTTACTTCATAGAACGTCATATCATATCATGAACGGAGCATCCCATTATTTCTCAGTCGAATTAATTAAAAATTCCGGAATTTATCCAGTGACGTATATAGATATCAGCTAAAGATGTTTTCCCTCTTGATGAAACCAGTCTTCCCTTTCATCTCATTCCTTTAAAATGCTTAGCCTGTAAAGACTGATAAAGGCTCTGACCAAATACTGATGAATGGATTGATTTGGATTATTAAGCTACGGCAAAGCCGGGCTATCTGACTTAAAGGACGGATGCCTTCGTGAAGAACTTTCTAAGTGAAACCAGCTCGTATACGCGTTACGCATGAAAAATACCACGAAAACGCCCATGCAACCAGCCTGTTCAGCGGGATTCAAATCTCGGAGCGAACTACCAGTATTCTGCGACTTAACCGCTCGGTCGTTCATGGGCTCTTTTAAAATGGAAGGCAATAAATTTATTTAAAATTAATGCCAGAAATACCAATATGTTCCAAAAAGTTGAATGCTTTTTAATATACTTGCAGAATGCCTGAAAAAAAAGAGCAAGCCATTAAGAAGAAAAAATTAAATTTTTGCATAAAATTTATTAAAAAATTTTGAAAATTAAATTATTAAAAAATTAATTTGAAAATTAAATTATTAAAAAATTTTATTTGCATAAATTTATTAAAAAAATTAAAATTTTTGCATAAAATTTAGTTTTTTTTAATTAAAATTTTTTAAATTTTATGATAGTTGGTTCTCATGATTTCAAAGATAAAATATTTGACTAAAACATGAGTAACATTTTAAGAAATTAAATATAGGATGATAAAATTGTGTAAAGCAATCAGCACAATGATAAAACTGTTTAAAGCAATGTATGCAAGTCATCCTAAATTAAAATGTCGGATATACAGGGTGTTTTCTTTTTAAACTGATGGTACTCAGAGACCTCTGTAGCTTAAACTATCAGCCACAAAGCCATAAAATTTTTTATGAGGACTATTGACAACATAAGGAAAAGGAATTCAAGGAAAAAAAATTAGTTCCAAAAGTTGCAGATAGGAGGAATATGGCACTTTTAATCTAAATTTTAACTGCACGAAAAAATTTCTGACCACTTTAAAAAGTTACAGTAAACAACAGTACTTTTTCAATGATTTTCAATGCCCTGCATCTTTTTTATAACTTAAATTACTGGCGCTGGTGTCGACTACGTAATCAGGATTTTGCCAGTTTGCAATTTTTTTGGCCGTGTTATGCAAAATTTTAGCTGTCTTAAAGTGTAAAGCGCCACATTTTCCCCTATTGGCAACTTTGGAACTAATTTTTTTTTAATTCCTTTTTTCTATGTCGCCAATAGTCTCTGTACAAAATTCCGTCGCTTTGCGGCTGATAGTTCAAGCTACAAAGGTCTCAGTACCATCAGTTAAAAAAAAAAAAAAAAAAAAAAACTGTATATCTCTTTTATTTATATATCTTTTCTGAATGGAACATTGAAAGGCGTGTTAACTGTTCTTTACTGTATTTTCTCTTTTAATATACGCAGTTTTCAAACGCATTGTTGTCTGGGTCACAAAGTATTCTTCCGAAAGAAACGCAATTCAAATAAATAAAATCAAATTCTGGAAAGTTTATATTAATAAATATATTTAAAATGTGCAGTTTGAATGAATGAATAGAAAATTTTAAAACAATAATCTGAAGACACAATGCAACACAAAAAAAAATTAAAAGTCTAAAAATTCAAAAATTACCTAAAATAATAACTATGACTAAACAATATAGTATAAAGAAAACTATTTGAAAAAAATAATAAACAATGCACTTTTTATTTAAACTATGCAGCTCGAATGAGTAAAAAGAAAATTTTAAAATAGTTATTTGAAAGAAACCATGCAACTTAAACAATTAAAATAAAATTCGAAAAAGGAAAAAAAAAATATTTAAAATAATGACATAAAATATAATATAAAGAACATTATTTGAAATAAAGAATGATGTGACTTTTTTCCCTTTCACACACAATGTAAAAAGGAAAAGGAAAATAGGTTGCCATATATTAAGAAGATTGCCAAGTGAACTATTCTTGGTGCAACTGAAAAAAGGCACTAATGTAAATTTTTGAATTTCTCCGTAAATTTCACACCAGATTTTACAAAATTTAATATTTAGGCATAATTTGAGTCGTATTGAAATATGTAAAAAAATTGGTACGTTATTTCAGAAAAAGTCCAATTTTATGTCAAAATACCTATGTTAGATTAGTGCTACATATAAATCTAATATGTATCCTAAGTCGCGCTTTCGAGACATGAAAAATGCAGTTTGAATTTTGTCAATTGGCTCAGTAGAATGGGAGATATAGAACTGTCCCCTCTTTTTTTTGGCGCAGTGTACATGTACAATCACTGAATGCTCCATGAGCTGACTCAAGCAGTTAAGGAGAGACGTGTTCGAGCCTGCACTAATCTGCTTGAATATCAATGCAAGGGCAAAATTCTGGGCCGAATCATCACTTGTGATGTAAAGTGGATTTACTTCAACAACACAGACCAGAAAGCTGATTGGTCTGCACCTGGTGAGCTCGTTGACAAGCATCGCAAAGCAAAATTTGGCTAACAAAAAGATCATGCTTTGTATCTGGTGGGATTGCTGTGTTATTATCCAGAAAGAGTATGTGAAGAAAGGTAAAACTCTTGACGGTAAGGTGTATAGCAAGACAGTAATGCGAGTTTGTCACTGCTATCAAGAAAAGGCGCCCAATTGAGTTCTGGTGCAAAAAGGAAATGTTCCATGAAGATAATGCAAGACCACATGTGTCTGTATTCACTGGCTGGACTCTGCATGAAATCTTTTGCTACACCCACCATATAGCCCCGACATTGTTCCTTCAGACTTCTTTGTTTTTTCGCACCTGTAACTACATCTTGGAGCTATCTTCCATTCTTCACAGGACATCCAAAATGAGATTGACCTGTTTTTGGACTCGTGGCCACCAAGTTTCTGGGCCGATGGCTTTGAAAAACTACAAAAATGTTCTTAGAAAACTCTAGATTTGGGTGGTTGATTCCTACCCGCACTAAAGGTACTGCTTACATGTTTTTCCCCTAACTTTATTAAGAGCATTTTTTGGCAGAAAACTTTTGTTACAACCAGATATTTGGGGTACTGGAAACATGTATATCTGGCTACACTTACATTAACCATCTCGCTGCTTTAATGACCGAGCAATTAAGATCACTGATTAGTACAGATCGTTCTACCTAGGTTTGAATCTAAATGAACGAGCTGGCTGTATAGTTTCTGTAATTTCCCAAGTATAATGTAAAGATAAGCTAGTTTCACATAGAAAGCTCTCCATGAAAGCATCCTATCTCTTAGGTAAATAACCTTCTTGTGCTTTGCCATATCCGAATAGCTAATCACTATTCATTTCAGATTCATTTTTTCTATTTCTAGAATACCATTAACTACTAGTAATTGTAGTGTATTCATGTTTTTAAGAACCTCGTATTTACAAATTATCATGAAGATCACAAGGAATGAATGATCTTTTTTCCCCACAACCTTTTGATTCTCTAAACGTTTTTTGAGGTCCATATGAGTTCATAAATTTTCTTTTTTTTTTTTAAATTTTAAATTTAACTATGATGTATTTCTATAGTATCAATATTAAAAAAAAATGTTAAGAAATCAAAAGGGCCTCCAAGTACTACTACATGAATGAGAGGAGGATTGCCAAAACTAATACTTTAAAAAATCAGTTTCACTGCTTCAGTTCTTGAAATTAAATGAGTTACTGTGTAAAATTTTATGCTAATAATTAATTTTAATAAATATTTCCAGCTTGGGACACAAGCAGGTAAATGCAATGAAATGCATTCTTATATAAAAATATCTTTTGCTAAAAATTGATTTATTTTTATTAAAATTCATCTCTCATTTATATAGCTTATTATAACAATGCATATAATTGAAGAATCCAAATTTTAAAATCTAGGTTATTGATTCTGTTATGGCCCTCTTTCGAGTAGATTACAGTGGTAGAGGTGAACTTGCAGACCGTCAGCAGAAACTAGCACAGATGCTTTCTAAATTACAAAAAATGTCTGAAGGTAAGGCAAACATGTCATTATTTGTAAAAATAATTGTCCTGCTACAAATATTGCAATTAAAAAAATCAAATGACCTTTATTTTTAACAAATAAATGTTCTTAAAATGCTTTTCATTACAAATTATTATAATTAAAACCATCATTTCTGTATTCTTTGTATACGTAAATGAAAAAATTTAGAAGCTAAATTGGTTCTTCTGTTTTTTATTTATTTTATTGATCATGCATTATGCATAAATGGAAAACATGGAATGATTAAGGGTATTTTGCAAGTTTTTTTTTTTTTTTTTTTTTGGTTATAGTATTTTGTTAGTAGTAATCTCGAAGTAATTGGATTTAATTGGGCCACAACTCATCTGAATATTCACAAAGTCTTCCTATTGGATTATATTGGATTTCTCATTTTTTGGCCTAATTCATTATGATAAATTGAGGAAACCTTATTATATTTATTATTATTATTTTTTCCTTATCATAGTTTAACAAAGATTAGTTCCGATATGAAATATTTTTATTTCTACAGAACAAATGTGGTAAAAATAAATTTTGTGAAGGTATTCACAAATTAATGTTGCAACTCGTAATAAATTTTATGATTTTAATGAAAAAAAAAGGACCAAAAATTAAAAGCAACTAAATTTATATTATTTAACTTAGGTAGAAGATTAAGTAATCTAACAATTACAATTCCTTATATTTGGTGTCCAAATAATAGAAGTTCTGTTGTGTATTACTGCGTGAAAGTGAAGATGAGAAAAAAATTCTTAAAAAAAATATTGAAATGTTTCAAGAGAAAAAAATAACCTGAGATTTTTAATCATCTATGTTTGTTTAGATTGCTATGTACAATGTTAACTCTTAAGTTAAATTGCATTTTTACTTCATTGTTAAATCATAAGTTTCATAATATTGTACTTCATTATTTATTTTAACATGCTTCACAGATCTTCTATAGATCACAAGAATTATTCTTAGTAATGTGAAACAAAATAAGAGTTAAACATTTAAGAAATAAGATAAAGATAATAAATTTAGAGAAAAACCTACGACTTGGGTAAACAGAAGCAGAAGATGAAATTTGCTGGTGAATTTGTTTAGAGGGATTATTTAATTATTTTCAGAACAGAAAATCATATTTATTTACCTTGATTTGAATTTCAGTTTTTAGTAATTGTTTTCTGTCCACAGTGTTTCAAACTGTATTGTAATATTTATACATGAATTGTAAAAACCAACTTTTATCAATCTGTAGTTGGAATTAAATACATTATTTAAATATTTTTTCCCTAGAATATAATGTTGCTATATTTATAACAAATCAAATGACTTCAGATCCAGGAGCTGCCATGAGGTAAAAATGTTTAAAAATTAATCTGCTTTATTATAATGTAAAATTCATCAAATTTTTTCCTCATCTCTAAGATTGCTTATGCAAAATTGTATTTTTAATGCTTTATAACTTTTTTATTAAGACATTTTTCTCCCTCTATCAGAATAAATCATCAGTATGTATAGGTTTACCACAAGTGCCTATATTAATATAAAACAAATTGGTACCTTAGCACTTAATATACTGTAGTTATTTGACAGACTCCCTTATATATTAGGCTAAATTAAGAAATGAAAATGTAGGTGAATAATTATTTTGCTTTGCAATAATTCTCAGAAATAGAATCTTAGTTCCCTCCATGGCTTTATAATTTTCTTGAAATAACATTACCATTAGCTTTAACCCAGGGATGTTGTTAGTGGTATGCTATTAACTGTTTCCTTTCAGGATTCAGTGTACTACATACAGCCTAAATTGAAATTTCTCAGCTGTATGCATGGCTATTATACTTAGTGATAGTTATGAAATTTTATGTACTGTAATTATCTATGTGACTTATTTAGTGTTTAGACAGTGTAACTATTCTGTATGATATAATGAATAAACTTCATAACTTCATCCTCTCCATTCTGCAATTTCATTTATCAAAATAGCATTTAATAAAACTTTACTTATCAGCTTAAATTTTAGAATAAAGTACTGTAGAACTTTAATCACCTAAAGTAAGCTTTACTGTAATCAACACAGATAATTGAAATCTCAGTTCATTGAGATTAAATTTCAAACCTTGGGAACTTTTCTTTGAAATGCACTAGCACTAACTACTATTAACATTTTTACAAACTTTTTCAATAGTAGATCAAATTTGCTTTTATCAATTAAACAAATAATTCATATAATATTTTATTTCAAGATATATTTTGTGACAAAAATTTTCTTGAAAATTCTGTAATAAACAAAATCAAAACTTAAGCAAATTGCAAAATATTTATTAAATTTCTTACATATGTACTTTTATGGGACATTAATTTTCTTATAAAAAGAGGTCTGTTGCTAATCTAGTTGAAAGCCGAAGTCTAGCTGCTGCAAGATTCTGCTATTTTTTTTTATCATTAAAGAATATATAGGAGATGTATTAGAACATTGCTCTAATTCTTGACCAGCATTGTTCAAGGTTTCAGCGCACTCAGCATGGAAAAGTTTCACATTGTCCATTACAGCATGCTCATCTTGAAACCCACTGTCATCACTGCAGTTTTTAATATTCTCTAGTTCTATGTCACAAGTGATTTCTTCGTCACACAAAACTTAAAAATTTAATTCACTGTGGTCGTATTCATTCTTGTGCCACCTTGAGTGGTGCCTTCCCATCCTTTTATCCTTTGTGTGCATATACATTGTCAACTGGTGCATAGTTGTTAGTGTTGTTTTGGTGTTTTCTATTTTTTCCTAAAGTTTTATCAAAAGATCAAAAGATTGTCTTTTCTTTCACAAATGGCTTGAGTATACATATAAATAACATTTTTTATAGTAATATGTTTTAATTCTCTTTTCTTCCACAAACGGTTTGAGCGCACATATAGATCACAACTTTTATAGTAATGTGTTTTAATTCTTCATATCATCTTTGCTGTTTAGAATATGAGAACTGAGTTTACCTTCCACACCACAGTATTGCCATTATTGTATTATTACATGGGTGTTTGATCTATGTCACTGATTTCAAATAACATATATGCATTACCTTGTTGCATGTGAATAACCTATATCTGAAATTTTAAAATTTCACTGTCAAAGTCTGCTACAAGACATTATGCAACTGTTAACCTATGATATACTAACAAACCTACTCATAAAACACACACACCAACCTACACTTGCTTGAAAATCATGGATTATCTCTTTATGACCAGCTTTTTCACAAGCTTGGAAACAAATTATATCAACAGACAAAACTTCTTATTCATTCACATATGACAAAACTTTATCTTCCATTTGCAGAGATTTAGTTGCTTCTCCACAAAATACGTACCTTTTGCCACTTTTTCTTTGATGTTCATTCTTCTGCCTTTTCCACTTTTGCTCGCCAGATTCATCTATGTCAAAATGAAGTGCTGCAACTCAGTTCCCAGTTCTTCGAAAAATAGGATAACTTGCTGTCTAAAATAACAAAATCATGGCTAAAGTTTTTGTCCGACATTTTCCTTCAGATGACCTACAGCCACATTCAACACACACTGTACAATTCTATGTTATGTGCAATCAACAACAAGGGATTTTATACCTAATTATTAAATACATGCTGCTGTGCTTCCACATGTTTGTATGTACCTTTTTCAAATCATTTATGTGTATAAGCAGCACTCCGGATTGTCATCTGCTTTCTTGCAAAAAATCATGTCGAGAATATAGTACACCTTGATCCATGTTTAAAAATGGACAGAGGTGACAGCAAGCAGAAAAATCGCTTTTATTTTGCTTGATATCAACATCTCTTCATCTGGATAGCATGGAGCAGTTTTGATAATCAACATGTATTTTAGGCAGATATGATTTCTTTTAAAATAAAACCATATTTCAAAAAATCTTTTGATTTATATATATTGCATTGTCAATAAATTGCCTGTAATGTTCTGGAATGCCCTGAGCTTAACAGATTTCTTGATTAAAAGCAATCACAATTTATCACTGCCACTAGTATTCCTGCAAAACAAAAGTAATACTTGATCATCATGTTTTCTCTATCCTTTCTTGCATACATTTAATCATTCATGACACAGTAATACTGTTTCATATTTGACATCAATAAAACAAATTCTTTAAAGACATTGCCTAGAACAGCAGTTGCAAAGAAATTGCACACGGGCTGGATGTACAGTATGAAAGCAGCTGACGCTGAATTTATTTTAATAAAGTAAAAGAAAATTAAACAAATTTTTAATTTTATTTTCTTACCATTTATCAAAACAAGCATAAACAGTAATAATAAAATGCAAAAGAAAAATTTCCAATTTATATTTATTTTCTATCTTGAAATCTGACACGCAAGAAATTTCTATTGATGAAACTTAGTAGTTCAGACATATTGAAAATTGGATATTAAATCTTCGAGACATATTTATTTCTATTTATATATTTAGATATAACTACCGGGTGGCCATAATTAAATATTTCTATTTATAGATTAGAAAAACAATTTATATTTATTTTCCAACTAACTGAAACCAGACATATTGTGGCCATAATTAAACTGACAGTGCTCACAGTGTTCTGTAGCGTGATCTATTTGCGAGAATGACGCCACATTTTGTAGGAAGATTAAACAGACGGGGATGAAGGATTCAGCGAAAAAACAAATTAGTTCCAAAAGTCACCGCTAGGGGAATATTTGCGCTGGTAATAGAAAAATAGAGTGTTAACAAATGCAAATTATACGGAATAAAATTACCTTTTATTAGGCACATTTTCTGATTTAATTCAAGGCAATATGGCAACACTTTAAAAAGTGTAAAATCTACAATAACCGATAAAGTCTCGTGATCTGCAATATCACGTACGCTGAGCAGAAGAAGAAGTTCTTTATTCAAATTTCACGTTACATCCATTCATACAGTGCCAGCTGCTTGGGTTTTAAAAGGCAATGTGTTACATTTCTAATCAATCGGATTGAAAGTTTATGTGCAATGTCTCCTTCTTTAGTCGAGCATTCGTTACTGGTCAAATTCTTTTACCTTAACAAGTGCAACGCGTCAGCCGCTCTTTGTGCTTTTAGAACGCACTTTTGTAAATGCGTAAATGCCTTTACGCATTTTTTTAAATGCGTAAAGGTAACAGTCCTCTGTCAGTTAATGGGCTAAAAGCAATGGTTGCGATGTTTGACAAAACAGGTGATCTTACCCCATGTGACTTCTTGCTATGGGGTTACCTTAAGTCCAAGGTCTATGAAAGAGTGGTCCAAGACCTGGCTATGTTGAAGGATAACATATCACGGACTGTACGGGAGATTCCTGCAGACATGTTACTTTCTGCTGTTGTGCATATTGTGCACAGAATGCAATATGTGGTACACAACAATGGCAGCCACATTGAACCTCATTTGAATGCAAAATAAAAGGTAACTTCCGTATTGATTGCATTGTTAACACTCTATTTTCTATTACACAGCCACCAAATATCCCCTAGCGCGTGACTTTTGGAACTAATTTTTTTTCGCGAAATATATATATATGTTCTATATGTATAATTTATATCTAAATATATATATATTTACTTTAAATTATATATATATATAATAATAAAAATTATGAACATCTTTATTTCTTACTACAGCTTTCAGCTACATCACATCATGACATTTCCATTTATATAAATAAAGTAGGAGAAAAATTATTAGAAATTATCTTCATTGTGATTTGTAGAAGCTCATCGGTCAATCTGGTTCTTTTCTTACACTTATTAATTTTCAACTGCAAGGGGGCAAAAACTGCTCACAAATAAATGTATTCCTAAACAAAGCTGATATTCTTATTGCAAAAATTCGTAACATAGAGTATTTAGTTTTTGGACATGTATGCGAAAAAGTTGATCAAATCTGCATCTTCAGATTTTTTTAAAAGATTTGTAAGACATTGTAATTTAGCTCCATCTATAGATTTTCCAAGGCATTACTTATTGTATATTTGTTTTTAATTGTAATGAAAATAATGGTAATTCAACTCAAAATGTTAAAATCTTAGATTTTTTGCAGTGCATGTCATGTAAAATTGCTTCAGGGTTTGCATGCGGACTGCAGGCTTTCAGTTTAAGACCGCTGGCCTAGAGCAAAGTATACTTAAACAGTCCTGCTGAAGATTCTAGCATTAGTTAATTATCATGTGAAAATTCTGCCTTCCTTGAGATGTTTTATTAGAATTTTTATATTCTACTGAGACCTTTCTTTATATCATTAATTTAAATCTTTAAAGCATGGGTGTCTAAACTATGACTGTTTGAGGGTCGCATTGCAAAGAAAAAAAAATTTG